ATTAGCGCTTTTGCCACCCAGAAATTTTGCAGTTTTTGATGGGCTATTTCTCCTTGAATATTACACCCAAAGAGCAAAAAATTTCACCATATACTAAGGTTTTCTAGCTCTTTAGCTGCCTGAAGTCAATTTGTATCTAACATGCTTCCTTCTTTCCGTAAAGCCGTATGCAAATGAGCAAAAATGTAAACAATGACGTCAGCTTGAATCCGCCTAGAGCGTCACAGAAGGAACCGCTCGACCAATCAGATTGCTGGAAACTCTTTGCTCAGCTCTGAAATTATACTAAAAATAATTATAGCTAGGTATATTTGTTCTCGATAGGCGCGTCAAACCATAGATATAACGCACACACACAAAAAAAAAAACACAAAAAAAAACAAATGAAGCAAAACAAATCCGTACAACTTTACTCAGGACAACGAAATGGATACAGAGAAGAGGTAGTTACGTAACATTTTATAGCAAGCTAGTCCGGAGGTAAATGCGAGCGTTCTGATTGGTTCTTATTTGGGCGGGATTTCGCCATACCGACCGGTCATATGCCGTGAATGCTGTGCGTGAGAGCCGCCATTAGATAATAATGTCGAATAACTTCGCAAGAGGAAGTTGATGTATAGTTTGATGTTATTCACCTAGCTCGAGAAGAAGACTTGTTTTGGAATAGTTTTTCCAATGACTGTTTGCTTTCTTTCCTTCTACAGAAATAGCAAAAGATAGCGTGGTGACCATGTCTAAAGTTAAATCATTCTAATTATAATATTGCGATCACTTTATGCAAGCATAATCTTAGGCATAATGTCATAGTCAGGGCGTCGAGCATAATGTCAGCGTAATGATTAAACCTCTTAAATATTCTCTTGATTTTTTTACAGTTAAATAAGAGATAAATTCTGTAGCCTGAGTAATGTCAAAAGAGTCTGCTTTTCGAGCTTGCACTTTAGGTATTTGATGCATCAAAATGTTGTGTTCTGGCCTTTGGTCGGCCTTTTTGCAATGAAAGAGTAAGGTTCAGGGTTAGTAAAAGCTAGTTAAGCATACTGAAAGATTGTTAGCATCATTTTCAGCATAAAGCCAAGTTTTCAGGGGTGACACTCAAAAGCATAATGCTCAAATCTTCGAGCATAATTTTTTTCTGATTCCTATTGACCTGGCTTTGGGTAATTACAAGAGTGTCGTAATCCTTGGCCTGTAATAGAGTGGGGTGAGTGTTTTTATGGCTAACTAAGAAATTAGAATGAGTTTCTTTGTTTGAAATGCCAATTCAGAAATCTCACCGCAGAGAAATTTTGAACTTGGTTAAAGTAAATTAGATCTCAATTTTACGATCTAGCGTCAATACCGCAGTTCATTAAAGGCTGTGTCCGGCGAGTGTCGGGTATAAAACAATGAAAACAGAAACAAGCAGACCACAGACAAAACAAACAAATGAAAAACAAAAATGCAAACACATACCACAGAGAAAACACACAAAAACAAAATAAATGAAGCAAAACAAAGCCACTTTTGCTTCACTCAGGTCAACGAAATTTGCAAAGAGAAGAGATGGTTACGTGATACTATTTTATGGCAAGCCGCGAGTCCTGAGGTAAATGCCGCTGAGCGTTGTGATCGTTTCTTATTTGGGCGGGATTTTTTCCCTACCGACCGGCCTTCCCAAGCCTTGAATGCCGCGCGTGAGAGCCGACAATTTCAAAATAAACAAACAAGTGTGGTCCCAATGGCGTTTAATAATCGCACTACTAACCTATCTTGTTGGAGCCTTACTAAGTGATGTTGGCTCCCGATCAGCACCGCCACGAAATGGGGCTACGATATTAGGAAGTAATTCATAGACGAAAATAGTTTTGATGACTTCTAAATATGCTAGGTTCGTCCTAGATTCTGGTATGATCCATAGATCAATATCGGCCTTTTGGATTGTTTCCCAGACTTTGACAGCGCTATTTGCAGCATAATTTATCGTATCAGCGTCAGAACTAGTTTCCTAAGCTGACGTTTCGAGCGTAAGCTTCAGAAACCCTTTTTTATAATTGTTTGATTTTTGTTTCGTAGTCCCACGGCTAAAATAATTATGTGAGGTAATTATATTCAGAACAAAGCAGCATACAAAATGTACATATTGTCTTTTCTGCTTTAATTTTTGTTTTTACTAAAAACGCAATGCACCTTTACAGCTTGTATAGCGTTCACAAGATCAAAGCCACGAGGCGTGAAAAGGAACAACCTGTGTACATTTATCTCCTTTCTTTTTTTGTATTTGCTTTTTCTTCCTGGCTATATACAAGGGCTCTGATATATCTTAGAAATCTACTCTCTGTTTGAAAAGGACCATAAAAAACCTACACTCTTACTTTCATCAGAAATATATCTATAAAGAATATATAAATTTAGTAGCTAGCTTTAATTATTGAGTTGTTTTTATAGTGTTAGTGGCCAAGTGCAGTTTAGAGTTAATTCAACTGTTGGTAGCGTGAACACGATCTTAAAGGATGTTTTTAACAAAGCGAAACATTTTTCAGTTTCTCGTAAGACTCGTTGTATCGATGTTAAAAGCGGGCATCCAGTTAAAAACCTAGGCCAAGATTCTGCGATGAGTTTCTTCATTCGTAAATCGTTTTAATCCTTTCCCTCGACCTTTAGTTCTTAAGGCGAGTGTGAATACATGTTGCAGAATTTCAAATATTTCTGGTTAAAGAGTCAGCGAATGGGAAGCGTTGGATGTTTTGGTGAGAAAATGCAATAGCCGTAAATTTTTTATTTTTAAACGACACGTTAGTAGTTTTATGGAATTTAAAGAGAAATGATCCGATTGTTTTTGGATAAGAATGAGTGAAAAGTTTGTTGCTCATCGTGAGAACAACATAGCTTTGAAAAGTACAAGGTTTCATAGCGTTTCGCTTCAAAGATGAATTCAAATCTGCCATGCTCGTATTGAAACTCGCCAAAAGATCCAAAGGTTTCACTAACTGCCTTTGATTTTTCTTCCTTTCACAACTGACATTTCGTAGTCGCCTTTCATAAGTTGCAAAATGACCGTGGAAAGATTTCCGTTCAGCCCCACTCTCTTCTAAGACAAACCCGTATTCCAAAAGGCAATCCACTGATTTCGCCTCTACTTTCTCTATCCAAGAACTGTATGCTCAATAAATTGTGGGGCTGTGCGAAAATCCTACCCGCAGGACCGAGAATATCGTAACGAAACGTCTTTGGCAATCGTTCTAATTTTTTTACAGCGAGATTATAGAATATCTCCCAACATTTTGAGTATCTGCTTGGACAAGTGGTTCTGTGTTCTCAAGGGATTCCGTCGGCGATCCGTTCTCTAATGGAGGCAACATGCCACATATTTGCGCGCGTTTATAGGAAGATGTTCGAAAGACCTGTTTGTGTGGATTTTGTTTATAGGAAGGCATGCGCCGTAATGGGTTGTGCCTCGCATCGATATGAAGCTGTTGAAGTTGATGATGTAGAGGCTGAAAATACGGAGCCTGTTTTTCTTGTTGAAAACTAGTTTTCTGTTCAGCAACTGGTTCCATTCTGCCATCACTTCTATCTTGTTCATTGTTTGCCATAAGCTCCTCGTAATGTTTCTGTAATTCCTCCCGCATTTGATCATAATTTTGTTTGTATTCAGCGTGAACTGCCTGCTGATCTGTAAGCTCGGAAGGCGATAGCGATTTTTGGTATTGCTCTTGAAGTCTTTGATGCTCTAGTTGCAGTTTTTTAATCCTATTTTGTGTTGATGTAATCCTCAAATTTTGCTGAAACGCTAGTGCCACAGCATTCCCATCAGACGCACGCCGCCCGAGCGGCACGTGGAAATTCGACCTGGGATCGTGCAAATGTTGTCCTGAGCCTCGATGTGATGCAAACGGTGAGGAGGACGAAGTAGAAGTTGTACCAGGTCCGCAATGTGAAACGACAATAGCTGGTTTCATTTGAAACGTTGGTATAACACCTTCCTCCAGAACTTCCTCGGAAGCACCGCGAGCAAGTAGAGGGTGATATGGCGGGACTATCAGCGGTTTATTCGGCATGGTGTGAACCGTATGTCGCCTTGCTTTAGGGCTTTTCTCATCCACGTCTTCGCTTTCCATCTTTTCTACAATCGCAGCCTCAATATCTAAGTCCGTTTCTCTATTGACACTGTTATCTAACGATAATGTAGGTCCTATCATTTGCCGCGGTGAAATTGAGCGCGCTTTAAGTCCAGGTTCACGAAGCGGCGACAGTTCTTTGACACATTCCGTAGCAATTTCCCGCCTTATTTCAGGCGGCGTCGGAATGCGCTCGTGAAGTTCATTAATAGCGTATTGCAGAGGAATATATGGTCTCGCAGGTTGTGCCGGGACGGTCCGTTGAGCGGCGCGAGTTGGCACTACCACAATATTGTTCTTACTCCCCCTTACAACAGCAGCCTCCGCAATCCCACTTGGCCGACGGAGACTGGTCTCTAGCTGGGTTTGCAGAGGATAGCTCGCTCTGTGTTGACGTAATCGATCCACCAATAAGTAATAAATAGCTGTATGGTGGTCATATGCGTTTTCGACCAGAGCCTGGTAACGAATAAAACAGAAGCATTAGGCCCATATAGCGTTTGACTGCCAGACACGAAGTTCTCCTCGTACAGGTGTACGAGGAAAAGACATATTAAGACCACTGCAAAATCAACGAGTTGTGGTGCAGGGGGAGGGGGGGTGGGGAAGCCAAATGTTTTTGATTTTCTGCTCACCTTTTTCGTTCTTTCGATGTCGATACCAAGCCCTTGCATAAGTTCTAACGCTTGTTCGTTGTACTCGTCCAGTATCTTATCTCCTTCAAACTTAACTTCGTCATTGTAAGCTAAGATAGTTTTCACTGCAGGGTCGGCTTGCATCCATTTGTGTTTCTTGATCTGTTCGATTGTATATCTTTGGTTGGGGTCTTTAACGAGCATGTGTCTGATTAAGTGCTCGCATTCTGTGGAACAAATAAAAGGACGATTTAAGTTTCGCCAAATGAATGGAGAGATGCGAAATATGGCTCCCAACGAGGGCGCCGTAAATCTTTGTAATAACCAAAGTATTTCCGACAGCAAACGAGACTGAAGAAAGTAAAAATTAACTTTCGGTTCGTTTCTTTTTAATATATTCAACTTCCTTCGTGAAAACAAATGAGGTAAGAAGAACTCTTATCTCTTTATTTTTGATTAGCGCGATCCGCAGTTGTATCATATCAACTGAATAGGTATACCTCCCAAAGCATTTGCGAATTTATCGAAAATAAAAACGAAACTTTATTCAATTACTGACAGCCTCGTACCTGTGGACATAAAGAATGGAATGCGAAACCTTCCTTCCAGTACTCGATCTCGAAGAGCTGGCAAAGTTCCACCATCGAATGGTAAAGCTCGGCAGATAAGTACGTATAGAACGACTCCCAAACTCTGAAAAAATTTAAATGAATAAAGAGCGTTAAGTCTACAGAACTTGTGGCGCTGCTTCGGTGGGGGAGTTTCGAGCACTAGCCCTTGTGTTATTAGTTCTGACAAGGCTTGAAACGTCAGTTTCCTTTACAGCGGCAATCAACGTACATTATCAACACAGTTCATGAAACCAATTTACACGAAAATTGATAATCAAACTCACACAAGACACTGGATAAAAACATTTAAAGAGGAGTTCATTTCATGGTGACTGCAATAAATGGGTCGTGTATAACCTACCCAAATGTCCAACTGAGGTCCATGGTAAAGTTTCCCTTCGAAAACCTCTGGGGCAGCGTAAGGTGGGCTGCCACACCATGTGTTTAGTGGACTGCCAGGCGTGTAGTAGTTACCGAAACCAAAGTCTGTCAAAAGAAAACCACAATTAGCTGCAAGTTCATCACAAACCTTACAAAATGGGTATTTTCAATAAATTTTGGACAACTTTAGTGGAAGGGATGAGATAAATTACCAGATATGGATTAATCAGGCCATTCGTTTTTCTCTAATGTATGCATACAAGTCTAAATTTGTCTGTTATGATAGGATTGTGTGATATGAATTTGGAACAGAAACAACTAGTTTGTCAAAATATTGTTGAATTTCATATTGTAATACTAGATAGTTTTAATCTTAACTCATCTTACATTTATGCACCTTCAAAAGGCCTATATTTTTTCCCATTCTTTCTATTATTTTTTCTGACCAATTTAAATACATTGATTTTTTGATTGATTGACCTATAGCCTATAGACTAGGGGCAGTTCCAATTTTCACACAAGTGAATAGTGATTAATTAAAAATCTTCTCAACATCACGTGAAAGCAATGGAGTGACACAATTAGAGATCACACAGTGCTGGGATATTTTTCACATCTGTCCATGAAGCACAACAACTGCACGGAAATAGGGACTGTTATAGTCTTTAATCCTTAAACACAGGCCAAGAAGCGACACATGTTAATTAAATTTTGCTCAACCAGGATTGAAGGTTCCTCACCCAACAAACATGAATATATACCATGTTTCGCCATAACAGCAAAAAGCTATAATCTCTTACCAGCAATTTTTATGTTGTAGCTTTGATCGAGAAGGAGATTCTCAGCCTGTAAAAAAAAACAAAAAAAACAAAAAAGATTAATATTTTTCTTACATTGTACATGCAAATTGGGGTTACTAATACATGCATATAACCTGCAAAACTGAACCATAGACCACTTTCATAAATGGCTGCCAGATTAATATTGTTTTGTTTAAATTTAAGTTAGCTCTTCTGGCCTCGTTCTCCAGTACAAAATTCAAAAGAATACGTTATCTCAAGCGAGGCCAGAAGGACTAATTTAAATTTAAACAAAACAATATTAATCTGGCAGCCATTTATGAAAGTGGTCTATGGACAATTTGTTTTGGTCCAGGAACATAAGGCTCTTGCCTATGCATAAATTATGATTCTCATAACACTCATTGTTTCCAAGTCTTACACATTTGCATGTAAAAATATATGTCAAAAAGAAACTTTATAAATGATTAAGGCATTCAACGTAGTGGTTCTATGATAAAACAAATCTGTTTTACACCCTTTTTGCATGATAAACAGCATTCTATAGCACAGTTTAGGTCTGCATTACATCAAAGAATTGATAGCAACTTTAACGTATTTGGGTGAATTCTAATAGCAAATAAATGATATGGTTTAAAACAACTGGTCTCTCCCATCTGGAGATTCTAAGAGTTCAAAAGTAATATTTAACTAGAAGATAAGTTTTGCCCTAGAGCTTAAAGTTTTTGTTTGTGGAAAAGAGGAATCAGACCATATAAACACAACAGATGTTTTTCTGCTGGGAGAAGGACCATAGAATTAAAAATTCAAATGGGCAACCCACATAAAACCTGATTGCTTTCTTAATTAGGAAAAGCAATACTTTCTGTTTTACAATAGAACAAAAACTGCACTGTTGAACAGAATAGACTGACACAACTTGGATGCAACTCAAAATCAGTTTTCTCCAAAGACTTTTTGAGTAATCAGCCTTTAAAATGTAGCCAGCAAAGGTTAAAATTTATTCCATATTAAGACAGACAATTAATTGTTTTGTCTAAACAAAGTAGCATGCATTTTAAAAAGGAGTAATGGCTGGTAGCACCAACCCCTGGTGCTTCTGAGGAACACTGCATAAAATATCATCAATTTGGCAAGCTATACGACCTGCATAAAAATCAGAAAATTCTAATTTATTTAAAACTTGCCTTTAAGTCCCGATGCACAACATGTCTCTTATGACAATACTCCACTGCACTCAAAATCTGGGCAAACTTCCTACGCGCCTCTTTTTCAGGAAGAGCGCCATTGGACAAATAATCTGTAAAGGCAAAATGTCCATGTTCATTATCTGCTCTGCCCAAGGTGTTAATTAAGACTGTCTAAAGCCATTTTTTTCAAAACAAACAAAAGTGGAAAGGGAGTATCCAGCATTTAGTACAGTGCGTAGTATTGTTTTCAGGAGTGATGCAGTTTTCAACATTATGAGCAGGTGAAATTGTTACCCAGGGCTGTTGTGTAATTTAGTTAGTAGGAGCACCAACATCCACCAAAACAACCATTAATTTCATCTTGCTCTAACATATACATGTATATCCTATACACCTGTAACAAAATTAGTCAACTTTTTCCAATGGGCTCTTCTCCGATCATGAAAAGGTAAAAGGTGGTTGATGCAAAGTGTGACAGGAAAGAATGGAAACTGCAATAATACTCTTTCTGTGTTTCAAAGTCAACCACCAAATTTGACCACTTCTTAAAAACTCTTTCTCTTTTTTCATGTATAAGGTATTGATTTGCCCTGTTTCTGAAAATTACTGCAGTGTAGATGCAATGTACATCCCAATTTATACATAACATTTGTTTTTGCCGATTGAAAATGTCAACAAAACAATTTTCTGTTTCCAATTAATTAGATGTTTCGTTCTCGAAGTGAAAGACCTCGCGCTGTGATGTATGCCAAGATTTCGATTAACAGTTTTATAGAATAAAAGGACCAACACACCTGGATCGGTTTATTTGGCATACATATATGAACAATTGTTGATATCCTGCCGAGATATCACTGGTAGTTTTATTTATGAGCTTAGAAACATAACATTTTAATCACGTAAATGTGACTAAAGCTTTGCTTAGACACTCGACTATTATTTCAAATGATCTTGAGATAGTGAAGCCAAAAAACCTTGTCCATGTTCGATTCAATTCTGAATGATCAGAAAAAAACATTCCTGCGAAACCTACTCATTCTAACCTTATTTTTTCCCTTAATCGACGAAAAGGTTCAAAATATGAGAGGGTCATGCTTTTAAAATGCATCTTAATTCGCACTAAAAACTTGGAGACATTAATGCATCGCCAGTCTTCGCGACATACGACACAGATCGATGTAACAATTTATGTTACGAAGACCCAATTTCTTAGATTTGAATAGAAAGTCAGAAATGCCCAGAACGCCGGAGATTATAAGGATTTTCTCGATGAAAAGACCTTTTGCCCGAATAATCAATGGTTGTTTTGTTATAACCGGAGTCACTTGTACCTTCTCGCATCACTGCACTAAACAAACGCCATCGTTGACAAAAAGTCTAGCGATGTACAAATGGATCAGGGCATCTGTGGTGAGGCAGCGTGAATTTATCAAATGTCAAATGGGATAAAATTTCATGGTACACTATGACTTAAAACGTCACGCATACCAGAGCCGCAGAAAATTACTGGTAATATTGATCAAATCCGCAGAAAGCAAACCACGATTTTCGCCGGAATTTTCGCATCTCCGCGATCGGAGAATGTTCCCACTATTCGAAATTACTTCTGAATCGATGAAAACTTAGTATGAATGAAATACTAACCAAAGGAAAAGGAGGAAAATAACGGCTGCAATCGATCATCTCTGAATTGCAAATCACAAGCCTTTTTAAATTATCATAAAGAGGTCTTTAAAGACACGGCAAGCACAAGTATTACTCACTGAACATTTCTCCGTTGCTGGCGTATTCTGTCACTAGATACAACATGCTTGTCGTTTCCATGACCTTAAGAGAAGGTAATAGAAACAAACGGTCAATTTTATTTTGCACAATGACTTCGGATGATAGCATAATATGAACATGGTGAATTTTTGATAAATGAGACCTGAACGATGCAAAAACGAAAGTCCTCCATGGATTCAAGCCTTGCTAAATAAGTCGCTACAAAGATTCGCTTTCAATTGGCTTACCTGGTACAGTTTTACGATGTGTGGATGATTGAGAAGTTTCATAATCTGTATTTCTCGGTAGACCTTCTTCAAGTTTGTTTCATCCAATTGAGTCTTGTCGATGATCTTAATGGCAACCTAGCCAAGAGAAAGTGTAGTTTTTTCAGCTAATTTACGAAAGCAAAATAGCATGTGTTCGCCATTCGCGCGCACGCTGGATTGAACGCGAGCAGAGGGCATGTATTTTCGATCAGCTTTTACACCGCGAATAAAAACAGCTTTGATTCCCTTACCTGGCTTTTAGTTACCCGATGCCTCGCTAACTTCACCACTGCGAAGTTGCCTTTGCCGATGGTATTCTCGATGTCGTAAAATCCAACTTTAATGGCTCTTTTCGTCCGATCCGTCGCCATTTTAGGCCCTGCATCCGAAGAGATGCGCCTGCAGAGGCGAAATAAAAAGCCTTTGAGCGACAAAACTCACAAGGAAATGCGTTATTCATTTGACAAAGACATTTTGGCCCGTCCAGTCTATGCATGCTTTTCACATGCAAGACGTAACAATGACGTCATCGGACGTAATTGATGCCTTGAACGCGTAAGGTTACCATGGCAATAAGACGGGTCATCGGGCGAAAAGAAAGGATGACGTCAAAGTTCTTATTCATCAACAAACGCGTTATTCGAAGTTTGGTCTTGTTCGTTTTTCAGTGAGACTGACCGCATAATTCGTTTTAATTACAATTCCAATAGACAACCTTTCCACTTGGCCTTAAAGAACAGCGACACAAAAGCTGTTTGGTTGTACGGAAATGTCAAACTGGATCTCACTTCAAAGTGTCTGATTGTCGACAACATCCTATTCAAACAGTAGAGTCGAGGTTCTAAAACAATCCGCGACATTTCCTCTTTAAAACGAGGGATATTTATGTTTACTACCACGATCTGGGAAATGTTAGGGGAAAATCTGACGTTTCCTCTTTCTCGAGAACAGACAATAGGATATAATAAATTGGAAAAAGTTCAGATCAAAAACGGGTCGTTCGACATTGAATGAGCTCTGAAACCAGCCAGCCAGAAAATAGCTAGAAAATTTGGCAGCTAAGTGCGTTCGATATTCGAGACGGGAAATTTGCGGAAAGCAGAAATTTTACCAAACAGGAAAACTTAAAAGCTGACGAAATTAGCCCGAAGAGTTTCAAAACCACAGCTTGTAGGTAAGTCTGAAGCTCGAAGCTTATTTTACTTTCTAATGGCAACTTGCCAAACGATTGAGTCTGCTTTCTACCGATAACCGGTTTACCGTCTCAAGCTACAATCCACGGGTCACTAAAGCCGAGACGAGAAAGGAAAAGAAAACCCATTTGTAGTGTGCAATTTTTAGAGAACCCAGTGAATCTCATACGATGTCTTTTCTGCATAGAAGGCAACAATCGAACATCCATTGACTTGTGTTGTTGCGACTGCTGCTTGCGTTCTACTATTCGACAACAACCGCGTAATTCGACAAAATTTACCGTAAATTTAAAGCTCACCTGAAATTTTCTCTCAGCCCAATCTTGAAGGTTTTGAGCTAAGCTCGATGCATATAAAGAAATTTGTAAACGCTTGATCTGGCAGATCTTCGACTGCAAGGTCAAAACCACTCTGATGTTTTGCATTTATAAAAGCGAAACCCGGGTATCACATCCGCAAACACTGTGACGTCATCACGAATATTCTGGCGTATTGTGGAAAGCTCCTTTGAGCGCAGGAGTAGTTGAATTGCTTACATGTCCGAAACTGCCTGGGACATGATGCGATTTTCAAAACAAAAGAGAAAAGAAAGCTTGAATTGCGATTAAATTCTCTGTCGCGACGACAATTTAACAGTCCGTATATTTTATATTGCGAAATTGGTTTTGTACGTGGAAGAATTTTATAAGTTTTTTTGTTTTGAAAAAAATGTAAGTGGGGGATCAACAGATTGTAGGAAACTTGGATAAAAAGGGCAAATACTGCACATGACTCTCGACTGTGGTGATAAAGAGGAGAAACAAAATAAAAAAAAAATTATAAATCGCGCCGTTGTAATGATTTGTCACATGCAGACAAGAGAAAAGTTGTGTCTGATCAGGTTTCATCACTTTAATCTCTGAAAGATTATCATTTCAATCACTAAACGTTAAAGGAAGTGGCATTTGATTTAAGAAAGCGATTCACCTGGGCAAAGATTTCTCGCTCTGCGTAACAGTTCAGCACAAACAAATGCGAACATATGAAAATGAATTCCACATGCACAGTTAGCTACAGACAGATTTTGATAAACGTCGTCCGCATCACTTTTTTCACTTTTCTCGCCAGACATATTTTTTTACGAAACAAAGATTTTTTTGCTCTTTATTCATAAACTAACCTTTGCTTTGGTTCGCATCACTTAGTTCTTGCGACACAGCGATTTTTGGGAGCGTTATTTATAAACTAACATTAGCTATTTTTAGTGCCCTCGCTTGAAAGGAAGGTCAATCCATTTCAACACGGGTGACAGCACAATCACTCAGATCACGCGTTGCAGTTACAATCGTGCGCTGTGAACCATGAATAACAGCCGATGGCTACTCTTACATAACTTTCGCAAAGTACGCCCGCAAGCTCCTTGATTTTTGTCTTCTGATCTAACAGCACAGCACAATTAGCTAAAATATGTGTTTGATTTTGTTCCCTCGAGGCTGTTAGGTATGGTATCACCGAGTTTCATCCGCAAACTCTAGTTCAGTGTCATGCTATATTTTTATCTTAATGCATTTCAAAGGCGGAATTAATCCCATCTCACAACGTGAGGTACTTATCAGACAACCACGCAATTTTAGTCAGGCGCAACTGACTCCACCTAGGCATGATTTGCTGTAAATATTCGTAACACGTTTTTGATCATGAATTCCATTGATTTTTTTGGTCAAAAAACGATACATCACTGCTCTTGTCGCGATTGCATTGTACTTCAACCGTTTTCGACGATTTCATCCTCTCTTCAAGGTCCACTCGTTTCCCGGACTAAGAAAGAAGTGCATATTTTTTCGCCTGTTTTAAGCGCAAACTGACGTTAACAATATCCACTCGATTTCAAGTCAGTCCTTCTGATGTTAAAAATGCTCAGCTAAAATACACTCACTTCTATAACATATATTTCTCATCATAAAGAAGAGTTTATGGGCATATATATAATTTGGGGGTTAAAAATGACTCAAAGAAGGGGACAGAAGATATTTATGCCCAAGAACATAAAGTGCATTTCTATTTTTATCTCTTTGAAGGGCATTGAGTAAATAAAATTTGAAAAATGACAGCAAGACGGTCTGCACAACTACGCGAGCTCCATTAAAGCCCGAAAAATGTGTCACTTTGCCCGACAAAGCGTTAATATTAGACGTTATATTCCAAACCCCTGTATGTGTTTTTGATTCTTCATTCCGACTCCTGACAATAACACTCCGCTATCGGTGAGGTCAAGTTGTCGATCTTCGATAACTTAGCCTTTCGAGCGGCACAGAGACGGAGAGGTTCTTCGAGCTGGTTACTAAACATGCTCTACAAAAATCAGTCTAAATTCTCAAATAATGTCTGTAAATTCTGACCAACCTTAATTAGCCGTTGAACTCTGGCCAACAATGTCGCGCGAATTTGACAGAATTAGCAATTCGTACCGGCCTTAAGACGGCTAGTACAATACATTAGTAGACTAAACTGCTCGTGGTCGGTCATTTTTCCCAGAGAGACCCACAACGGATTATTGTTTCCTTTAAAAAATCTTTGATTTACATGAGAAGTTGACACTTGGGAGTTTGTGATTTGGGAAATTCATCGGAAATGGATGGGCGAACGACCAAACATCTAACTTCCGCAAGAGATCAGATCTCAGTTTCATGTGGTTGAGGGACTGGGTTTTTATCATAAGCAAACATTGTTGCACAAATGACACATTCTTACTGCTTTCTAAAATTTGGCTCAGAGGTCAATGCTCCTGGGAGGTGACTTTTAAAATATGGAATTTCCCATTTAATATTGTCGTTTGACAAACAGGATGGGTGTAGTGACTATTAAGAGCCGGTTATTCTTTCAGTGATCACATGATGTACTATGAAAACAACTACCTCCGTGATCTATTCAGAAATTACAGCTTAGCTGTTTTATGCCCAAGACTGGTAAGATTTATGGCTTTTTATCTACGTATATTGCTGAATTCTTTTGTAGGAATCGCGCTTTCGACAAACTTGTTCGTGGAGAACGATTCGAAATTACTGGCGCCCGCAGCGGATGTTTTTTTTCTTTTAAATCCCGAAGATATCGCATCAATAACCTCGGACCAGGTCACGCACGTTCGCCATCTCTCACACGTTGTCGTATTTTTCGAGAGTGGAACGAAGGCACTACAACAACTCGGCGAAACTTCCCGAATAATGAACGAACACGAACGATCGCGATTCGGCTTAATTTCACGACAATTGAGGCATTCGTGACGTATTTAGTCATGCTGGCCTTGGTTAGCCGCAATTCGAATAAATTTATCATTTTATCCCCAATTATGACTAAATTGTGCAATCGGACACACGGTAAAAGCTTGATTTGGCGACAAACAGTACTTATAGGCCTTTGAACTATTTAAAAAATAATAAGAAAGAAAGGGAAGTTGTAATGATAATGGGAGTTTACGAATGGCTTCCGCTAAGTCACAACTTCCTAGAAATTTCAAACGACACATAATTTTTCGGATCCAGGAAACAATTAAAGTTTCCGAAAAGAGGGAATGTCTATTATCGAAGAATTTAGTCACACTGTAGGTTATGTTATTCTTTGAAACAATAAGGTAAAAAAGAAAAACACTATAGAAAATCGAAATTTCGTACACAAGCCGAGGCGAGATTGAAAAACTCATTTCAACCAAGTCAAAATTATGATAATTTTTCTGGTTAATTTTTTTTTTCTTTTTATCAAGTTCATCGTTAATCGATAAATATACGTTGAAGAGTATTTACAGCTTTGAACTTCCATAACTCGCAAATCTAGTCTTCTAAAGAAAACAATTGTTCAGATTATTCGCGGTTGATATCGAGCGATTGTCAAAGAAAGAAACGCTACAAAAATTTGCGCCATTCTGTAAAAGAGACAATTTCCCTAAGATCAACAATGTTCCTCGCGGAGTCAGTGAAAATATAAACTCTTTCTAAAGAGATCTTGTTATCAGTTTTCTTTTTGAATTGGTAGTAAATTTTCTAGCTCCGTGATAAACCTCAGGCACTGAATGTAACATAATGCGTTGCGTTAGAAAGTATGACGTTTCCACGGCCTTCTTTTCGTTCATTGGAGCTGATTACGGTATCTTTACTGCGTAACAACGAATAAAAGTAAGCCATTTGACGTAAGGCTTTCTTACCCGATCTGAATTCTTATTGGCTATCAAAAAGCGATCGCAGTTTGCTACACGTTTCCTACGTGGGCTATTGAAACACATAAGATTTCCTTCCCCGCAACGTTGCTCCAGAAACTGAAACAAACCATTTGCATTAATCGAAAAATGGCGATGTTAATTGTATGGTACTGCAGAATTGTATGGCTCTGCAGAATCGAAAAGCGTGCTAGGAATTTCGAAATTTTAATACATTTTGAGTGTGTTTCTTTGCCTCTATACCGTTTACTTTCCAACTTCGCTTCAACTAAACAGAAGTAACTAAAAAGTTACATATTTTGGGCGTTCATTCAAGACTTTTCCAGGTTGTAGAATTCGATTTAAATGTAATGCATTTGAGCAGTTCGCTGCGATGTCATTTTAACTGGTTTCCCAAGGAATAATTTGCGATTACTCGGAAATGGATTACTGTCGCTATAGCGATAACGGAAATAGTTTTCTCAATACGTATAATGCAAATCCATGATTTAATACCAGGCCAAAAAAAAAAGAAGACAAAATGAAATAATATAAAATTGTCGTTGCATCTTCTCAGTGTGGAAATTTTCTTTGAAAAATTGCAATTTTACGGAATGGTAAATATCTTTCCTAAGAATTCACAACAATATCGAAGAGAATACTTTTCCCGGTCCGATAATTTTCATGTAAACATTTGCGTGTATTTTAATTCAGTTGCTTTTAGGATTTAACAGAAGCGAGAGCACACGAGTTATGCTCCCAGTTTTCTATCGATAGTTCAGATGTCGTTGAAGTGTAGCGAAGGCATTACATGTAATCTTGAAACTGAACTAAGAAACCGTTGATTTAGCGTAATGCAAGATAATGATTTATCGACAAGGTAAATTTTAAACAAAATTTAGGCCTGATCTCTCGCTTTCAATAGAACTTACATCTTATGAAATAGCGAAGTTTTCTGAAGCTGTGTTTGTTTTGGTATTGTTTTTTTTTTTCCTTTTTTTTTACCTTGGTTTTGATACTGAATGTAGCATTTTTCATATTCATTGATTCGCTTTGCAAAGCAACTAAACTTTCCACAACATGCAATAACGAAGAGGAAACGCTACTCTCTCAAAGCTAACAAAAAAAAAATCATTCTGTACTTACAGCCATGCATATGGACTTATATCCATGAATTGAAACGTGTTGGATACAACCATACTTGCTCCAAGTGCGAAATCGAATTTCGTTTTCGCTCTTGTGGCTGTCTATAACATTATGCAAGGTTGATGAATGTTCATCAAGAAAGGAATACTGTCATTAC